GGTTGGCCCAGGACGCGCAGGCGCAGTAGCTCCGGCGGTGCTTCCGGGACTGCGCCCTGAGACCTTTTTGGCGCATCAGCGACGATAGTGGGGACGGCAGCCGGGAGGGCGCGGCCCGCGTTCTAGGCGGCGCCATGCGCTACAACGAGAAGGAACTGCAGGCGCTGTCCCGGCAGCCGGCTGAGATGGCGGCCGAGCTGGGCATGCGGGGCCCCAAGAAGGGCAGCGGTGAGCGGGGCCTGGGAGGCCGGGACGCAGGTTGCGGACGGGCGGGGGCCCTGGGCGGCCCCCCCGTAGTCGACCGCGTGTGCCCGCAGTGGTGAAGCGGCGGCTGGTGAAGCTGGTGGTCAATTTCCTCTTCTACTTCCGCACGGACGAGGCCGAGGGGGGGGCGCCCGGGGTCCCGGGGCCCCGGGGCGGGGGCCCTGCGGGGTCAGCGCTCACCGCCCTTTCTCCGCAGCCCGTCGGAGCTTTGCTGCTGGAGCGCTGCAGAGTCGCCCAGGAGGAGCCCAGCGGCTTCTCCATCAGTGAGTGGGCAGGGGCGAGGCCAGCCCCGCACCGTCCCCTCCCGGGACCCCCAGCGCGGTGTCAGTCTTCCCAGAAACAACAGCCCATTGTTCACTGGCAGCTTAAAGTCCGGGAGTGCCCTGCCCACCTGCCATGCCCCCTTCGGCCCGCCCCTCCCCAGCGCCTTCTCCCGCCTGGCTCCAGACTTTGCCCTGCCCTGCCCTGCCCTGCCCTGCCCCGCTGGGCCAGCGTGTCCAGCTGATCTCCTCTGGCTGTCATCAGAACCTCCACCAACACCCTTCTCACTGCCCTCCCTGCTGGACCTGGCTCTGAGGACCAGGCGGCAGCAAGCCTGCAGGGAAGAGGGAGCCCCTGCCGGTTTGCTAGGGCTGCCAGGACAGTTCCCAGGTGTGGACTGGGCAGTTCTGGAAGGAGGCCAGCAGGCCCAAGGTGTCACAGGGCTGGCTCTTTGCAAGGCCTCCTGAGCCAGTACCCGGCTTGGAGACGCATCCCTCCGACCTCTGCTTCCACACTCACAGGGTGCTCCCTGCATGGGTCCAGATGCCCCGTCGGGAGGACCCTGGTCATACAGGACTGCAGCTACCCATGGTATCTGCATACACCCTGCTTCCAGGCAGGATCCCATGTGCAGGCTCCAGGGACAGCTGGATAAGCACCCCCACCTAGGAGGGGCGCTCGTGCCGGGGCGGGAGGAGGGCCGGGGCGGGGCCCACTGCAGGTGCCCCCTCCCTCCCTCCCCGCTCCCCTCCGCAGGCTTCCTGGAGGACCCAGAGAGGAAGTACCACTTCGAGTGCTGCAGTGAGGGGCAGTGCCGCGAGTGGGTGGATGCGCTGCGGGGGGCCAGGTGGGGCTCACAGGGGGCCCCGGGCAGGGCGAGCCTCACGGCGGGCCCCGGTGACACGCAGTGCCCTGCTCCCCAGCTACGAGTTCATGCGGAGAAGCCTGGTCTTCTACCGGAGTGAGATCCAGAAGATGACAGGCAAGGTGCGTGCAGGCCGGAGCTGGCAGGCGCCCTCCCGCCCCGGGCCAGCCCAGGCCGGCTCACAGCCACCCTGTCCGCCCCTACAGGACCCGCTGGAGCAGTTCGGCATATCCGAGGAGGCCCGGTTCCAGCTGAGCGGCCTGAAGGCGTGAGGCCGGGTGCTGGTGGCGGCGTGCCTCAGCTCGGGCCTGGAGCACACCACACCTGCCTGGCCCAGCCCCGGGTTTGCACCGGGAGGCCTTTTCGGTGAAGAGACTTTCAAGCCTGAGGCTGGTTGGGGCGGGTGGGCAGGGGCTGTCTCTTAGGAGAAGCATCTGGCAGGACCCCCTCCCCACCTCGGGACCCAGTGGACGGGTTGGCCGGCCCCAGGAGGCCTGGCGGGCCCTGGGCCGTGAATGTATGGAGCTCCATGACGCTGTGAACGTGGTGGGGGCTGAGCCCCTGCCCAGCTGTGAACCCTAGTCCTGCTGACGGGCAGGCACCTGGCAGAGCGGCCTCCGCCCCACCTGCCCGCCTGTTCTGTTCCAATAAAGGTACCTCTTTTCTACCTGGTGGGGAAGTGAGTGGGGGCCAGGGGCGTGGCCACCATAGGCCAGGGAGCCGGGCAGTCGGCGCCCCCTCCCCTGCGGGCAATGAGACGCTTGGGGACCAGGGTCCCCTCCTGATCTGAGGCTGACGTGCCTGAGGTGTCGGGGCATGACCCGCCCTGGACGGAAGTCCTGGAATTGTGCCAGGACGGGGCCATGGGTGGTGATGGAGGAGGAAGCCCGGGCGACCCTGCGGCCTCCTCCCCCGCTGTGGCTGGGGTCTGCCCAGGTCGTCAGGCCCCGGGACAGCGGGGTGGGAGTTAGGGGAAGGTGATGCGGGTGGCTGGGACCCCCACCCCAGGGATGACGCGGTGAACAGAAACGTCAGAGCAGGTTCGAGTGGAAACGAGCTTTTTATTACAGAGGCCCAGGTGGAGAAGCAGTGGGGCTCCCTGGGGAGCGAGCCAGGGCCCGACCACGTGACGGCACGTGCTGTTGGACAGTTCAGAGGCCACGGCCTCGCGGGTTACAGAGGGTGGGCCACATAGATGATGCGACGCGGGCGGTGGGGACAGGACAGAGGGGGGACAGAACAGGGCGCCTGGCAGCGGGGAGCACAGGGGTCCCCAGCCGTCCGTGCCCGGGCTAGAACAGGACAGGCTCCCTCCTGCCGCCCAGACGGCCCTCGGCCCGGGAAGGAGGGTCGTCTTGTCAGGGTTCCTGACTCCAGAGCAGCACCAGGACCCACTGTGAGTCCCTGTGGTCCCCAGCAGCAGCCCCCAGCCCCGGGTGGCCTGCACGCCCACCTCCCTGCACACAGGCCTGTACCAGCTGCGGCAGGCCAGGGCCCGACGGCTGCATGGCACCTGCCAGGTCCAGGACAGCACACGTGTGCCCAGCAGGCTCAGGAGACGCCTGCCCGCCAGCTGAGCTGTGCCCCGTCCCGTCCTGTCTCCGGCCTCAGTGTCATCAGGGACGTGTTTGTCCTGGACCAGGGTGCCCCTCGCTACCGTCTGCCCTGTCCAGAGGGGACACGGCACAGCACCTTCAGCCTGAGCACCAACAGGGTGGGGGGCCGGGGGCCAAGCACCGTCCAGCACAGGGCGAGGCGCAGCTTAGGGCAGGGCCGCCCCGAGGGGGCCGGGGGCCTGCCCGTCCTGGCCCCGTACCCCAACTGCCAGAGCCTGAGCTCCAGGGGAGCAGGCCTCGGCCCACCGCACCAGCTCTGGGGAGGCCCTGCGGCCTCTCCTGTCACACGCAGCGCGTGTTCCAAGCACCAATGAGGCGGCCCCAGCCTGGGCTCAGACCCCGCGCGCCGAGCGTGCTGCCCGGCAAGGGGGGCCGCCCGACTAGCTTTGTGCACTTGAATAAATAGAGAGGTTTTGCTGTCCTCACTTCTCTTTAAGTTCACTGTGCATTGTAATCTAAAAATAAATGCAGCCGAGCCTATAAATTTATAAATTCTTGTCACATCTATAAAATACTGTCACCCGTCAGCGCGACCCTCCTATACAAACAGAGGGGGGCCCGGACGCTCCCTTTTATTTAATCACCTGCAAAAAAGGAGTGACTGGACCAATTTACATTCCCACCAACAGTGTAGGAGTGTTCCCCTTTCACCACATCCCCTCCAGCACTTATCATTATTTGTTTTTTTAATTTTCGCCATTCTGACTGGTGTTAGGTGATATCTCTCCCTGCAGGCAGTGCCGATGGGCTGCCGGGTGCCGGGCTGCCGCCTGCGCCAAGCCAAAGGCACCAACCCAAAGCCTGAGGGTTAACAGTCGGGGTTCACAGTGACCGAGGGGAGCGGGCGCGCCTGTGGTCCGTGAGCACCGAGGGCGGGGCGGGCGTAGCACCTGCAGGCGCGTCTTTATAAAGATCCTCTCACATAGACTCTATTCTCCATAGGCCGCCTCTCACGGCTTCGATGGAATAAAGTACATCGGGGTTGCTTAGACTCTTTAAAAACGATAAATACTTTATCTAAGACTATGGACAGTACAGCTGGGCCAGCCCGGCGCCTCCGGGAGCGCCGCCGTTCACAGTAGAGGCCGCGTCCTTCCGTCCTGCTGCCGGCGGGGCGGGGCGGCGCGGCGTCCACCCGTCCTTGCATAGGTCACGGTTGAGGTAGAAATCCTAGTTACCTAGGGACCAGCAGGAGGAGAGCCGGTTAGCGGGGGGCCGCAGGGAGCCCCGATGTCACCCAGGGCTGGGCGCCGGGTCGCCCACAGGCTCGCACACCCGCTGCAGGGCCAGGACAGAGGCAGGTGGGGCCCCAGCGCCTGAGCGTTTGTGGCCACACTCCTCCGTCCCACAGCCCCCAGGGCCACGGCCACCTTCTCTGGGAACAGAGGTCAGGTCCAGCCAGCCACCGCCGCCTACCTTCAGGACATCTCCCGTGGGACCGAGCACGTCCCAGCCTGCAGGCGACCGGCACTGACCTGGAGGTGTCAGCTACCCGGCCACACCCACACCTACACCCATGGACAGGCGCACGGGGCACAGGCAGGGCTGGGCAGGGCAGGCACCGGCCCGTGGACCACAGGCAGAGCCCGCAGGCCCAGCCTTAGCTCAGGGCCCCTTCCTCAGCTCCCGCCTACGGGACGCAGGCTGCCCAGGAGGACCCCGCCCACGAGCCCCGGCCGGGGCCTGTCCCCAACTCCCAGGACATGCGTTCCTCAGGCCTGTGGTTTCTGGGGCGGGGGGCCCTGTACTGGCCCGCCCCTCCGTGGCATCGGACACCACTGGGCCACGGACAGCCATACTCTTGCTGATGGGCAGCCCTGGGCACTGGCCCGGCGGCTAGGTGGGGTGAGGCAGAGCTCCCCCGGCGTCCTCACCCCTGTACTGTGGCCTCCCAGAGCCCAGGGACTCAGTCTGCAGATGACAACGAAAGAGTCCTGGAGGCCACCCCTGAGCAGCCTCCCCCGCGCACACCTGACACTCGGGACGCAGGCGCGGCCAGAGACCTGCCGCGGGCCCTCGTGGGGCCTGGTCATGGTAACCAGGGCTGCGCCTGCCACAGATCGGGGCCGTGGAACGGGGCTAGGCCCAGCCCCTCCCAGAGGTTGCTGGGGCTGGAGCCTCCCCGCCAAGGGCCCCCGCATGGTGAGGGCCCCCGCATGGTGAGGGCCCCAGGAGCTGCCAGCGGGAGGCCGAGCCTCCCAGGCCCTGAGCCCCGACGGCCACTCCGCTCTCAGGGTGCTGTGTTCTGGGCTGAGCCCAGAGCCGGCTGGCAGCAGCCTCAACCCCCCGGCCCTCCTGAGCCCTGCCAGGCCGCCTGCTCTGGGCATGAGCGCGGGCCCTGGGCGCCGCCTGCCCGCTCGGCCCCAGCCTTACCTGGCGGCACACGCACTGCTAGCTAAGCAAGGTCTTTAGCGCGGCTTAACCCCGCGAGGTGCGCGGCATAAGGAGGCGGCATGCCCAGGGAAACCCACACAGCCGACGGCCCCGCGGAGCTGGCCTGCGGGAGCCCGGGCGCGGCCTGCGCCAGAGCCGGCCGGGGCAGGGGCTGGCGGTGCGCCGGGAAGGATGGGCGGGAGGCCTTGTGCGGGAGGGAGGCGAGCTTGACAGACAGAGAGGCGTGAGCAGGCGGGAGCGAGGCGGCAGAGGGGGGCAAGAAAGCTTTGTTAGCAGGGGTGGGCGCGACGCTCTGCAGGAGCACAGGCTCGGGGTTAGAGGCCAGCAGCACGGGGGAAGGAGGCAAGGCGGCGTTAGGAGGGGGTGCAGGGAGGGCGGG